CTGCTTAAGATTCCTGGCCTGACCACTAAAAAGACTTCCATCGCAAAGGATCGCCTCGGCTAATAAAATACATGACATGGAGATAGATGATTGGATCAAACCAAATTTAAATAAGCATATTTTAAAGAAATGATGGTTAACTATAAAAGACAGGTGCTTTACTGTGCATCCTTTAGGTAGATGAAAATAAGAAAGATATTAAGGGAAAAATCGCAATGAAATAGAGAAAAAAAGACTATAAAATAGTACCAATATATGCTTGAGGAAGCCAAAATATACTCTATGTCAAAAGAATGGAAGGATTCAGTGTTGCTTCTGTATAAGAGAGAATGGCTCCGAAGAAAAACTGAAGTCATGAATTGACTATGTAGAACTGATGACCCTGACCAGCATAAACAGTATATAAAAAGATGGAGACCTCGGTCATAAACATATTTCACTGTACCATTATTCAGGAATTAGGTGGCATATAGTGGTTCCCAAAATGTATTGTGTATAAAATGCACTAAAATTAGGGACCAGTGTTGCTATGATGAACACTAGCAAGCAGAGGGCTGTTCATTATAATCCACGCTTCGAAATAGCTTGTATTGAAATACACGGTTAAGTTGAGTGACTGGCTGGGCCAATTTTAACTTTGAATCTGAGTGCGACAGAAAGAAGAATGAAATGGATGGTTGGGATAAGATAGATAAGCTGAACGAAGATAAGAGGATGATAAACTGAATACTATGCATAACGGCTGTATAAATCAAACGATTCAAGAATAAGTAGTCTGCTTAAAATACATAAAAAAAAGCACTAACTATAATTATTATGAGCTGTATTCCCCCAATTTCGTTTAAGGTGATGAAGGACTGGAAGAAGAAGAATTTTTCAACAATGGTATGAGTTGAGCTAACGTTTCCATTGAATTTCACATTGCCTTACTTTCCAAAAAGTTCTCATCCAGAGTGGACTGTCGTTTCGACCTCGCATCGGTCTTATCATCACCCTCAGCGGGAGTCGAACCGCGACAATGCAATTAAAGGAAATCTTTAAAGCAGGTAACTTTCTCTTAACCCAAAAAGCAATTTCATTTTGTAAACTATTGATCAGTATATGAATGACTTTGTCATTTGGCAAAACGACAAATAGAGCCTAAAAAATTTGTAAAAGTAATGAATAAAATAGATAAGAATCCAAATTCATCATTGAACCCACAAATGTTAGTTTCATTTTTAATTTCTTTTCGAACCCGGCGTAATAAGTTAAAGAGAAAAAATAAATGGATAAATATTGAATAATATTATAAAACATGATAAATTGAAGCATCAATTTAAGACAGAAGACCGCTATATTAGTGTACTAAGAGTACCATCTCCTCATCTCTCAAAAAAGATGGGAGAATTACTGAGTAAGTGGTGCATTAGAACAATGTGAAAGAAAATTAAAAAATATTCCTCAGTATTGCCATCTTTTTGGGAGTTTTCGGACCATCTCTCCAGCTCGAGCTATACAAGGCTTTGTGTTCATGTCGTAACGTATACGTGGGAGAGACCTGTCGACCAATCTATAAAATAGTCTGCAAAGGTCTATAAGTACAAAAATCAGAATGATAGAACCAGATAAACTGGCCTAAATCTAAACACCAAGCAGGATATGGAGATTATGCAATAAAAGAAATAATGAGCATGTAGAAAACAGCGGAATGACGATCAAATTAAATAAAAGGAAGGAGCGTAGAAAATTGGACGCAAACCCTTTGCGGCTTTTCGATAGGATTAGGTAGAAAGGGTAACAGAAGGATGATGGATTGAGAAAGTAAGCAGTAATGCTGAGAATTAGGAGACTTGGTTAACCTTGAAATTGGTTGTGACTCTCATACTTCATAGGAATCATGAAAATTGCATATCCAATGGGAAGCAATTATATGCGTCAGTAGTGCAGAAGCAAAAAATACAAATGATTAAAGTGAGAAGGTAACTGTTCGGTCACGGCCACATTCACTTCACGTATTACGTGTTACTCAGCCCGTCATCTTAGAAACTTCAGTTATCTGCACGAATGCATAGAAGAGCCAACCAAATAATGAGGTGTCTAATTAAGTGAATAAAGTCAGACCATCGGAAGTAGGTCGAATTGCAGCCAGAACCTTTATTTTCTTAAAGCTAGAGCATAGTTTTCTGCTCTAACATGGCAGACTTCAGTTCAGCCAAGATTCATCATGGTAGCTGCATGGTGCGCAGATAACTTATTGACACAAACTTAGACACAAATCCATGGCAATTCACCTTTGGAGTTGCGTAAGGCCGATATAAAGATCCCTTTCACTTCCCTCGCCAAAAAAATGAAAGTTAAGTCAACATCAATCTAGAAAGGGATTTTACACAATCCAGTTTCTCTTCGAGAAACATTGTTCTCTAGATTATTCACAGAACAATAAATTGTGTCAATTCGCAATGCCGGTAAATACGACATATTCTGGCTGAGATAATTGGCTATCCGGGCAGCAAGAGAACTCACACAAGCAATAAATGCGGCCGACGCGTTCCACCACCCCGTGCATAGGTGGCACATGGCCTCTTGAAGTCTCGATCTTAGAGTATGTTGTTGCTGCTGCTGGCTCATTTCGGTGATTTCTGGATTTAGGACGTTCATAGCACAGCTAGCGCCCACTCCTGTCGCATCAATTGTCCCTAGATCAGAAAGATGAGATGCCGAGGAAGCACCAGCTTCGGATAGATTCCGCATGAAAGCATCATTTAGTTCAGAGGACAAGAGGCGATCTATTGTGTTTGGCCGGGGAGTTGGAGGATTGTCAACGTATACGCGCACAATTAACTCACAGAGCCGATGCAGCCCCGCCAGACAGCCGATCGGAGCACCTTGATAGGAAAAATGGCAAGGCAAAAGTGAGAAGTCACATGTGCCGACTGGATTAGTTCGCTATCTTATATTTATATAGCAAGCAGTTGTAGTTGGTGATAGTGCTTTTATAACTGAGAAGAGGGAGTATATTATTCACGCGCGGATAAGTGAGAAATCTGAGTTTAAAGTATGTGAGATAAGTTTACAAACAGCTCATAATCTTTTCAAGCCACGTATACTGAGCCACAACTTTTATTTTAAGGTGAATGTCTACCTCGTTTTGTTGCGACCGATGCA